CGCCTTTGAAAGTAACTGTTGCTTCGAATGGCTGCTTTTCCAATGGTGTACTTCGAGATCTCTTCCGTCGCAGAGCCAGTCCGGTCATGCTTTATTTTTCTTCTGGTTTTAAAAACCCGATTTATCCTTGGGATTATAAATTGAAATTGGGATAAATATAAAAGGAATGAGATTTATGCGAGAAAAAGAGGATGCCAAAGAAAAAAACAAAAATGTTACACAACGAAAAATTATGACTTGTCAGTTATTTTTCAATTAAAAAAACCCTCAAAAAATAAGAGTATTCATCAAAACTTCATTTTCTTAAAGCTTCTAGTCTTTTTTGTAGCACTTCTCTTTTTGCATCCAGTAGTCTACGCCGAAACTCGTCTTCAGGGGGCAAATTCACATCTACAACATACACAGAGTTGCCTTCACGATCCCTTTTCAAAGACACACCTTCACTGTTGTGTTCATCCTCGAGGCGTAAACTAAGCTCCTTGTTCCTTTCAATTCTACACAAAGACTCCTCGGAGTCACTTGCGGCCAGTTGTTCAAAGTAGACGTCGTTGAAATAAGACGACAAATCTTCGGAAGACTGCGAATCGGACGACACTGACTCTGACTCATTCAATACGTCGTCTGTATTTTCGGTTTCACTCTTGCGCATCTCAGCTTGGGCTTCTGGAAGCTCCTTTGCACAACCAAAGTATAGTTTATTAGATGATACCATCTTATAGCTTTTCCCAGAAAGTGCTGCTAATCGTCCTTCCCAAGGATTTTTTTTAGCAATAAGATGGTTAATTTCATCATTTTTAGCTCGGATGACGACTTCTCCATGGGTTTCAATACTAAGTAGTTGTGGATCACGCAATCTAGCAATTTTATCAGCAATATCCCGCTTCAATTTAAAAAGCACGTACTTCACTACTTTGACATCGGTAGCGTCAAGAGGATTGGTTGGGAGGCTACGCACCCCTAACCGCAAAAGGCGCTCTTGTTCAGCATTATCCTTGACTAATTTGTAAAGCAAAGTACTCTTCCTTTCATTCTTCCTCGCCAATGTACCCTCAATCTCGCGCAAATAATCCTGCATTTCTGGAAAAGCAAGCTTTCGCGAAATATAATAGGGAAATAGAGAGAAAATATAAAACAAGGAGGCTCCTTCAAATTTAATTGGGCTATAAACGGAAAACCTATGCACATAGCAAAAGAACCAATGTTGGAGCAGAAAAATAGCAAAAAGAGGATGAATAAAGCAATAAAATTCTGCACGACCGCAGTTCATACATTTGATTATATATATATATGTCACAAACCAAACAGCAACCAAAGTAATTCTCTCATTACAAAGAGTTCTTCACTAAACCCCTCCTTTTTTTTTCGATGTTGTACTTTAAACCGCCTTGAAGCGCCGATATATGTAGAGCACAAACCAAAATCAAGGAAGAAAACCCATGGTACCTGGATGCCACAGCAAGTAGGAGGCTCAATAAGTCCATATATTCCAATTACACTACCACTAGGAAAAGCCATACATTTAAAAAAATCCCAAAATAGCATCCACAACACGATACATAAGCAAAAAACAATCTAGAACTTGCTCCTATAGCTGATAGCTACACCCTGGCTATCGCTACCTCCGACGTAGTCAATATTAAAATTACAGCAATACGCAGCAAAAAACAAAAGAAAAAAAACAACAAACAAAATCATAATGATATTTACTCAACCAGATGGCTTCAAGAATAAAGTAGAGTTAAAAAAAAACTGCTGGGAAAGAGGCAAACCCCGATAACAGCACAAGCATCTTTTGGTTATACTACGGTTGTAAAGGCACACGGCGTGGTATTTGAATATACTACAAAGGAATAGTTATTGCACCTAGCCAAAATCCAATTATGGCACCAACAAATACCAACGAAACATTGATAAGGAGCCACATCCCCACAAGCACCGTTAATGAAAACAGTAGGAGAAAAGCAAAAAATGATTGTAACCATAACAGAAAACTCATTGGGGGAAAAAAAAAGTCTCAAAAACCATTCAAGTAATAATGGTTCCATTTGACAAAAAAAAAAAAGCCCGCCACCTCCGCATATTGCACAGTTTAAGTAATCCTGCTAAATTATATCCAGCGTACATGCGCAAAAGTGCCTTGAATATTATACCACGACTTTTCGGAGAAAAACCCCTAGGGAAGCAACAATCAGCAAAACAAAGGCCACGCCTGTGAGCTGCACCCCAGCTTCAGTAAAACAGGCAAGAGGCCATCCGCATAATGGGATAAAAAAAGCAGCACGAGTTAACAATTACAATCCCTTGTACTCCAGGAAATCGCTTTCAAGATCAATACCGCTCACCCAACTTAGTTAGCGTCTAAAAATACGCATCATTTAGGCAGCATTAAAAACTGCGATAAATACAATAAAGAGTGCCAAGTTCATAAATAGAATAGCAATAAATATTCGCTCCATGAAGATTTAGATAAGCATCCCACCTGGATGACCACGGATACTCACTTCTAATCAATGTCACACCATAACTCCACATGATACTATCAGTTGCCACAGACAGACGATGCATAGGGATCATATCCTTTTCTTTCCATTACGCCTCACAGCCAGTCTAGGCGGAAGTAAAGAACGCAAATGACGAGTATGTGTACAAACACCGAATCTTATACTTTGTTTGAAAGGCATGTCTTCTGGGGTATCGTTCCAAGGAAGGATTGACCGTAATGTGTATGGGGTTACTAATGTGCATGATATGAGGACGTAGTTAAAGAAGGGGAAGTCCAACATCATCCTCGCTTTTCTCACCCAGCTCGGCCAATGACAGCCCAGCTAGGAACAAATTAATGCGACATCTTGCTCTAATGGTCCCCACTAAAAGGGCCTGCCGCCTTTCGTTCACAATTTCCCTTCCACAGATTTTTTCACATGCAACGTCCTTCAGGGGACAGCTACTCTCAAACAGAGAATGCCGCGCGCGCCCTACGGAGGCGCGTCTCCCCTCCCTCCCTTCCGGGCCGCGCGGGGGCGCGCAAAAGAGGGCCGGCAGAGCGGGGGGCGGCGCCTTTATTTCTGTTTTTTCCCCGCCCCTGCCAATTTTCTTGTTTTGGGCGACGGGCGCCGCGGCACGGGCTCGGGGAAGAACATTGCCGGCCCTTCGCCTGGCGCGCGGCTTTGTTCTGTTTTCTTGTGCGCGACGCCCCCCGGGCGCAACAACGGGGCGGTCAAGGCGCCTCCCGGGCCCCGCGTCCTTCCCGGGGCGCGCGCGGTCTTGTTGAACCGCCGCCTCTTTCCCCATGCGACCATCGGGGGGTGCAGGCTTCGGAAGCGGTGTCGGCCGCGCAGCGCCGAGAAAGCAGCCGCGGGGGGCGTCGTTTGTCCACTGTTTGCTCGGGCATGAGTTCTGATGAAGCGCGAGTAATCAATAGAGAGAGCCTGCTTAAAAAAACACAC